CTATATGATCCTTGTCATACCGAACCGAACGGAATTCGGTTTTGCAGAATCCCCAAATTATTGAAGACAATTCATTCATGAGCTTCCAAGCGCGAGAATGCTTTGTGCTCCTCAATCGGCCAACGAGTTGCAAGTTGGATTCCATTTCAATTCCACAATCCGATATCATTTGGTCTGATTGAAGCTGTTTGCCCCTGTAGATTAAGCTCTGGACAGATATGGGAATTCCGGTGATCAAACTGATTTTCTGGTGAATTACTTCCACTCTATTGGTGGAATCGGCTTGAACAACTAGGGTTTTTCCACCAGAAAATAAACGGACAAAGAAATGAATCCGATTCATCTTAACGCTGAATCGATCGATAGGAACTCAGGAGAGACTGTTTGAGAAATGGATGTGGAGTGTGAAAAAGGTGAGGGGAAAAGTTCATTTAAAGCTGTGGGAAGACAAATATGGAATAAGTAAAAATTTAAAATTAGTCCCTTTAATATATTTTAAAACCGTTTCAAGTCTTTTAAGTTTGTAAAAGTGAAAGTTTAGTCTTCTTAAGTATTTAGTAAATCATGTCTCTATTAGAATTGCTTTAAAAAGATAGAGACCCCTTTGTAAAAAGTGTTAAGAAAAAGTCACTTAATGTGACTGTAGATCATATACTTAAAGACAAAGAAATGTTCATGCTGACTCTTTAGAGTGTATACAAGTGTAGATAGAATGAAGTGCGAGGATAAAATAATAAGACCTATGCAACCTTTAAAATCTATGCTAGACGCTATATATAAATCAAAAATAATATCAACTATAAAAATTGCACCTCTAAGATGTGAGTTTTTGATAAATAAATCGTCATAATATATATGACGATGAGGAAAAATGCTTACTATTGACAACTTAAAGGACTAAAGCCTGCTTGGATTGACAATTCGCATGACAATAATAGGAATACCACTTCTCATCTTCACTAAACAGGGCTGCAAAACAAACGAGTAACAAAGGAGAAGGTGAATAGGGTTCCATCAATCGGAACCAAGGTTGTATCTACAACAACATACCTAGTGTAATCCCACAAGTGGAGTCTGGAGAAGGTAGAGTGTACGTAGACCTTACCCCTACCTCGTAGAGATAGAGAGGTTATTTCCGATAGACCATAAGCTCAAGTATCACATCTCAAAGCAGTTTATAAATGAGAATACATAAATGAAAGCAGTAACAATACCAAAAAAGAGCGTTATGGAAAGCAGTACATAACATACAGAGAATGATATCTGCTAATTTCTACTTCTTGTGAAGGGGGATTCACTCCCTTTACATGGCAATTAGATGACAGTTTTTTTCCTCGTTTCTTCAGCAAGTATGTAGTTGAATTTATGCAGTATATATTAGAAAAGCTTAAACATGGAACAAAAGACTAAACTTCATTACAACAAGAAATAAAACAGACAAGCAGAAAAAATAAAGAAAATGAGAAGTTACAATAAGAATACCACAACAGTGAACACTATGCGAACTTGAGTTGAAAGAATAGGGTAAGTTACAATGCTGAAGCACAACTTTAACTAAAACATGAACGCAGCATGGTAACCACGTAAAAACAGAAACAATCACCACAAAGGATCGTGTACCTCCTTGAGCTAATGACATTTGAACAAAAATGTGAATTCCAAGGCAGGGTACAGTTGCTCAAATCTATTCATATTCAAACTGAACATCTATCTTCAAATACTTCTTCATTAGCCTTACAATAAAGGATGTGAATTTCGCTAATGTTTGGCATTCTTCGTGTGTTTTGGTTTCTGAAACAACCCCATGAATCACCAACTTCCTTAGATTAGGGCATCTTTCCAATAGCCCTGCTACCCACTGTGAAAAGAGGTCACTGATCACCGTCCAACCAAGCTCCAATACAACCACATTTTCCAATTGAAAAGAACCCTGCAATCCATACTGAATTACTGCCTCTCTTAGTTCATAGCTCAAGGAGAGATGAGTTAGTTGCGGAAAGCAAGCAGAAATTGTCTCAATATCAACAACCTCATCATCGTCATCAAACACAACTGCCCATAGCCTCAGTCTTCTCAGTTTTGATGACTTTGCTATCATATGATGGAACTTGGACCACATGATTGTGAAATTGCTGACGTCCACAATCTCAAGATTCTCAGCGCTCTCACCAATATCAAGATGGATGACACTAACATCATCAATCTTAAGGAGTCTTAACTTCCCCTTGCTGACAAGCTCAAAGACCTCAAGTGTACAATCTTTTAACTGCAACTTCTCAAGGCTATCTGCCTCCAGAATGATTTTATCCAAACTAATGGCTTCAACATAGATATCTTTCAAAGAGTTAGTACTCAGCTCCATTGAGGCATGTGGATCAGACATAACAATATCCAGACTTATAAGGCTCAAGACCTCAACTTTCGGGCAGGCTGTGAGAAAAATACTGAGGTCCAAAGCTGATACACTGACATAGCTCAGTGAAAGAGACCTCAAGCAAGGAAATTTTTGGTAACTAGGTTCAACACCCGTAATCGTATTGTGTGCCAGAGCCAATACTTCCAGTCTCTGGCGACCACATATCTCAAGAATATTAATGTTTGGCGTAGTCCTGACATTATAGTGTAACTCACGCAAAGTTTCTCTCGTGTACATTAGCCAAGCAATCACCGGAGCAGCAGAGAACTCATCCACATCATCCATCATAATTGACAGACACTGCAATCCATTAGTCTGGAATATTGTCTGTGTCACAATTATCTCTAGTCTGCTCCTTGTAAGCTCATGATAAAGAGGCCAGTCATTCGAATTAAATGTGAGTGTGTGAAGATGATTTCTCCAAGCCTCTCGCCATTTCCGGCAAGTAGAAGATGCAATCACAACATCTCGTGCAGCTCCTAACCGAGACAATATGTTGCCAATAACCTCAACAGGAAGGTGCTCCATAGCCTTCATACAGAATAACAAATCAAAAGGCCACCAGAAGTAAAGAAAAAAAAATGCTACAACCTAATGAATCCAACTGAGCCACTAAAACCTCCAAACTTCACAGCTACATTAGGCATGTTTAAAGTCAAGAACCAGCTTATTCTCAGCAACCAAATGAAATCCAAAATCAGATGGAAAAAAAAACACTAAAAGTAGACCAATCTTACAGCTTCACAACTAAAAAGTACACCAAACTAAAACCTCCAAACATCACAGCTACAGTACTGTTCAAACTGAGAGTAACAGTAAATCACAGACCAATCTTCAGGGGAAAGTAGACCAAAAGATGAAATATCAGGCAACCCAATCAATGACCCATCAAATTATATAATCAACCAATGACAGATTTCTTGATTCCACAACCATCTACTTCAAAACCCCAAATAAAAAAAAAACTCAAAAGATTTCACCTTTTTGGGCAAAGGCAACAATCCCATTAACACCTCATCAATTTCCCATCCTGCAACCAAAAAAAATCAAAACTTTAAGAAACCCCACACACATTCATATAGAAAAGCGATACATAACATGGATGATGCAGCAAAATTAAACCAAAAAAATCAAGAATTTGTCCAACTTACAACAAGAATCAAATAAGAGATCACGACCCAGAACCAGAAATGGATCGATGAAGGTAAATTATAAGCCCCGTCGATCAAAAGGGGGTGGAAATCTGATAAAATTTTAGGAGAAAATTGTTCAGACAAGATGGTGGAAGAAAGGCAGCACAGACACACACAGTGTGTGGTGTGCTGTGTGCAATTTGGAATACAGGTGAGACCCACGTCAAGTGGCTAGTTATATTGAACCTTTTAAATACGCAATTTTCAGTGTTTTATTTATTTATATTTTTAATAAACAAATAAAAAAATTCATGTTGCCAATTTGTTGGAACATTGGTTTTGGAGTAATGCATTTCATCGAGTAATGAATAATGATTCAAAGTAGGAAATTATGTACATAGTATCTGATTGTTGGACATAGTCCCAACATATTGCAGCCAAGCAAACTATACAAGAGCTATAGTTTAAGAATAGTAATTAAGTTTTGCGATCCAATTAGTTAACCTGGCCTTTAAACTACCTCGCATTACCACAATGTGAATAATTTGTCCTGTGAAAATCGCAGGGTTTCTCTTTTTGATTTGAAAGACTCAATTGTTCCTTTCTTATCATATCGTATACACTGTATCAGCTACAGTGATCCTAAGTAGTTCAACCCGTGTTTTCTTCCCATTAGCATGAGTCTCAATCCAACACACCTTCTTTGTCCATTTCATTGCATTCCTATTATGTACTTGCCAACGCAAAAGCTTGTTCCTACAACAGCCAAAAAGAAACATTTAAAGAACAAATCATAGATATTCTGATCAATCAAATTCCACTCAACAGTCGATCTCTAGTGTAAAGACTGTTGAGAATTGCTAGATAGAGTATGAAAATCCATTTGGGAGCTCCAAAATTATTGCATACCGGTCTCTTCCACTGTACTTTCTGATAGGTACCTCTAAGTTTTGCATACACCTGCTTCACGATGAATTGCTAGACATCGTGGAAACATTAAGGACAGATCGCTGCGAGAATTATGCTTTTCTTCATCAATTAATTACAAACCGACAATAATCCTCTCAAAGACCATAAAAAAGTTAAGTATTTCAAGAAATAATGAGAACACATTTTTTTACTATCTCAATGCCCCATTCAAACAGTTTCTCACGACATAATACTTAACGAAATCTACCTAATCACCTTTACTTCAAACCCAACAAGTTCTTTCATAATGTCAATATCTCATTCACTTCTATGAAAATTTATAAGAAAAAAAGCAATTTCCATATTTTTACCTAATATAAACAAATTTTTACCCTCTTTTAATTATCACATTTTTCGTAATATTTTTTTTATTTAAAAAAAAGTAACTTAAGTTAGGGTGATTCTCAAGCAATTCTTGTGAAGTATTTTACAAAAAGTTGATATTTATATCAAATGGACACTGAAATTGCTAAAATTCAGTTTCTTACCATTGCTTATACACTATAATAATAAAATAGATAAAAATCCCTTCTTTTTTATCTCACTGAAAACTTCGCCTCTCTCACTGCAAATGCTGCGAGTTTTTCTGTAAGTATTTGTTTCCAAGAATCTCTCTACTCCTATGGCATTTTCTTTCTTTTTCTTGCTGAAGTTACAATCTTGCTACAATTTCTGCAATTTTAAGGTTTTCAATTCTATCTTGCTTTGTTTAGGGGAAAAACTGGTAGAAATGTATGAAGTTTTGAGCTTTATCTGTTGCATTTCTGGTTTATGTTATCTTTTTGTTGCAAGTTTTAATGGGTTTGTTCATTGGGGGTAGGGGGTTATGGGTATTGGAGCCCTTTCACAAATTTCCCCTGATTGCCTGTTTCTTGCTTTTTTTTCAATTGACAGGTGCTGAAAGAAAGTTTTGGGGTTGAAATTCAGTTATAATCAAGTGGGGTTGTGATATTTTTGGGGAATTAGTAGATTAAGTTGATTTTTGATTCTGGGTTTTTTGAGTTTGGGTATGGCTAGTTGTACATCAGCTGTGTTTGTGCCTCTGGATACTCGATTGCGGAATGGGGTATTAACTGTTCTTGCAAGAAGAGTTTGTCCTTTGAAAATGCAGGATGAGAAAGTTGGATTCTTGGGTGTTAACCAAAAGGGTATTTCAAGTTGTCCACAGTTCAAGTGTTCAGCTAATTCACATAGGTTCAATAATTATCAAAGTAAGGACTCGTTTCTAAATCTGCATCCTGAAATTTCGATGCTTCAAGGTGAAGGAAACCATACTTTCACTACCTCTAGACAGGAAAGCTCGAGTGGAGGTGTTGCCGAGAGCTTAATGGACTCATCTAGTTTGAAGAATTTCAATGAGGCTAAGATTAAGGTGGTTGGTGTAGGAGGTGGTGGATCAAATGCAGTTAATCGTATGATTGAGAGCTCTATGAATGGTGTGGAGTTTTGGATTGTGAATACTGATATTCAGGCAATTAGGATGTCACCTGTGTTTCCTGAGAATCGATTGCCAATAGGCCAAGAGCTCACGAGAGGACTAGGTGCAGGTGGTAATCCAGATATAGGGATGAATGCTGCCAAAGAAAGCAAGGAGGCTATTGAAGAAGCAGTTCGCGGTGCAGATATGGTTTTTGTGACTGTAAGTTCAGCTTTTGTTTAGGACTATAAGTTTAAGTTGTTTAGCTTTATGTTAACTTTACTTTGATGCTTTGTCATATCTTTTTTTGTGTTCTCAGTTTCTCGGTTTCATATGGTGTTGTACAAGATTCTTTGTTTTTTCATTCTTCGATAACAGATACTGCAATACAGTGCTTCCTTTCTAGCTGTCAGGAATATATGAAACTCATAAGAGATATTCTGGATAGATTCAACTGAAATAGATTCTCTTAATTCACATCTATCAGAGTTAATTGGTGATAACATGCAGAATCACCAAATGATCTTATAATTGCAGCTTGTTTGGATGATAGTTACCTATTGTATTGTTAGTTTAAATACCATGTTCTTTTTATTGTTACTTAAATTATATTGTATCATATCGTTCAATTCATTGTTATGTAACCATCAAAAGTCTCATTTTAAGTAACGACCGATTTGGTGTGATCGCGTCGTTACCTTATTTTTTTCTTCTCATTTTTGTCTTTGTTTATTTCCAATAATAATCTTATTTTAACCTTTACACTGCCTTCTTATAATAGTTTTACCTAGTACCCTACTTTTCTTGTAGGTTTGTCTTTCAAATTGCTAATGTGTTGTATTATGTAATTAGGGAAACGATAATATTTACTCAAACATTATATTCATCAAAACAATACAACACAATACAATAAAAAACTATACATTTTGAAACTATATGTAACAACCATCCATTAAAGGCAAGCTAATTGCAACACTAAAACCAAACTCCAAATACTTTTTCTTAACAGATGGCTCCTAACCCCTTAAAAGCATCTGGAAATGGGAAAAAGTGGCGGTTGAAGGGATTTCCATTTAGGCCTCATTTGTTTGCACTTAATGATGGTCTTAATCTCAATCATTTAGATATCAATCATTAAGTTTGTTATTTAGATTTGAATCTTAATCATCCAGGTCTTAAAAATTTGGTGCTCTTTTGTTTTTCATGTCACAACCACATAATGAATGATTAAGATCTGTAACAAAGTCCTAATATTATTAAGATGTCTATTGGAAAATTTAATTCTATAAAGATGCAAGCTCACCATTTCCATCTATTCACCGCTACCGCCATCACCCACCATTATCAATTACTACCATCCGCAACCACAATCACCGCCGATGTAAATCATTATAATGAACTATCACCACCATTAGCCACCATTACAATCATCACCATTAACCACTATTACCATAACAACCAGCAATCACTACTTAGTATCAGTATCCCCACCATCGATTGACACTATATATCATCAACCACTAATATCATTCGTCACTACCATTAGTCGTCACTATCAATCCACCACAACTATCATCTGCCACCATCAACCACTACTGTCAACCACCATCAGCAACTAGCTACTATTCACAACATGGCCATTAACCAACACCATTCCCAATCGGCACTCATAACCACCACCGCTAGTCAACACTACCACCAATCGCCATACAATGTTTAATAATATTTTTAAATATAACATTAAATTAATTTAGTACTTTATTGAATTTTATATTTATTCATTTTTTTAAAAATAACTTGTGGGACTACACCGGGTGCGTTGTTGTTGTTGTATTCATTTTTAAATAAAGACAAGTTTTATACATTCATATGTTGAAAAAAATTAAAAATCTTAATTATTTAGTATTCCGATCTTAATACAACATCTTAACAATTCAAATGTGTATTCAGACATCTAAATCTTAATGCACATCTTAATATTAAGATGTATATTCAGATTCAGACGTCTTAATCTTAATGAAAACAAATGAGGCGGTCTACCTTTAAGAGCATAGTTTATTCTCCTTGTCACTAGTTGTATTACATTGTTCCACTTCATCCCTTTAGGCTTCTCTGATTACACAACTACAAAATCCTAATAATTTCATAACATTATAAATAATTTTGCATTGTGTCTTTCTATGAGATGTAGTTGTTGTAAATTTTGTAGCCATCTGGAATTAGTCTTCGTCTTGCATACACCACAAGCTTGGGCTGAGTATGCTGATTGTAAAGGTTGTAGGCAAAAGACAGTGTCATAATCTGATGTTGCGCATCACTCCCTATATAGATCAGAAATATCTATAAATGAAGTACTATATATTCTATGTAGTGAATCAAGGGAGTATAAATTTCCAGGATGAACACCTGACGTTTCATCAAATCATTAGTTTGAGTTTTCAATTTCAGGGACAAGGTTGATACCAGGCAGAAATGTAAATTAGGTGAACTTGATGCTGGAGAAGCTAGAGTATCTGTGATATTTGGCATTTTAGCCTTTAAGCACCTTAAGAATATGATTCCCCTTACCCTTCGGGTTGGCCCAGTGGTTTGGGCTTGGGACTTCCATGTTGGAGGTCTCAAGTTCGAAACCCCTTGCCAGCGAAAGCAAGGGTTTCTTCTGGGTTGAGCTCGTCGCACCGGGCTTGCCTAGTGCGGGTTACCTCTCCTATGTGGTTTGCGAGCTATTGCATAGGAGCGGGGGTTTTACCTTGTGCGCACCCAAAGGGGTAGCGGCTGCGGGTTTCCCTTGTCATAAAAAAAAAAAGAATATGATTCCCCTTGCTTAAATAGGATGAGAAATGAATGAATTTTGACTAGATCATCCATTCAAAGAGAGGAAAAAACTTTCAAAGAAGCATGATTGATATCTTCAGGGTGCCTTGATGATCGGTAGGGTAATTCAGTCATTACCTAGAAAGAGAAATATTTAGTTTTAGCTTAAGTGCAAAATAGGGCCATTTTGCCACATGTTTAGTTTTTGGTCTATTTATGATAACTTCAACCAAACTATGCATGAGGGGATTTTCTTAAAAGTTGTATGACATCTGGAATTTTCCGACAATCGCCAAATATGGTGTTGAAAGGCTTGAGTGAAGGGGAGATGCTGAAATTTATCAGGGGTATAAAATGATGAATTTTGCTCTTAGGGTCTTAATATGGATCTGCATTTGTTTCCTTATTTTATTGAGTTTAAATGGTGTCCAGAAATCAGTGAAGTTTCTTAACTTGAACATATTTAATCTGGAGCACTGATCAAAAGGAATATCTTACTCGAGAATAAAGTGTCATTTTCTGTTTTGCCTCCAATTTTTTATTCTGAGACTTCTTAACTTCACGAGTTATCCTTATGAAACTATATACATATAAGATGATTAATGCCATCCATCTCAATGTATATTATCCAGAAGCTTTGTAAAAGTTAAATATGGATGATCTGCATATTGCTGTATTCAGAATTAAAGTTCCTTTACATTTTTGGTCTTGTAGAAGGGAGTACTTAGTTTAATTTTCCTCCCTTTCTGGGCCTCAAAATTTTATGTGCAGGCTGGAATGGGCGGAGGAACAGGGACTGGTGGGGCTCCTATAATTGCAGGAATTGCCAAATCAATGGGTATCTTAACTGTTGGTATTGTCACAACCCCCTTTTCTTTTGAGGGACGAAGAAGAGCAGTTCAAGCCCAAGAAGGAATTGCAGCTTTGAGAGAAAATGTTGATACGCTAATTGTCATTCCTAATGACAAGTTACTGACTGCTGTTTCCTTATCAACCCCAGTAACTGAAGCTTTTAACCTGGCTGATGATATTCTTCGGCAAGGGGTTCGTGGTATTTCTGATATAATTACGGTACGAATGCTGAGTTCTCCCACTCTTTTGTTTCCATTCTGCTCTCTGCATTGTTTGCCAAGAATTTGAAGTTAAGTTGCTTTTCTCAGTCTTACTTTACATCTAGCAACTGGTCCTTTCATTCCCTTTTTTTTTGGTGTGAGGGGGAGGGCGGAGGTTCTTGTCGTGGTCACACGGGGAATTCACGCTTAACTTCTCTCTAGTCTTCATGTTTGTGCATTTGATTTTGCTTTTCTTTTAACAATTACTCCCTCCGTCCCATATTAGTTGATCATCTTATTAAAAATAGTTGTCCCATATTAGTTGATCACCTTACTAAATCAAGAAAACATTAATTAATTTTTTCCTATATTACCCTTGCAATTAATTCTCTTTGAAAGTGTTCACATTTGTTTATAAAATTTCCTAGAAGTTTTTAAAGGGGTGAATTAATAAAATTATCTTCTTATTTATTATTTCTTAATATGCGTGTAAAAAGAAAAGTGATCAACTAATATGGGACGGAAAGAGTACTATTTACTCCATCTTTTTCAATTTGCTTGTGTTACTTTCCTTTTAGTTTGTATCAAAAGAATGCCTCTTTCCTTTTTTGGCAATTCCTTAACTTCAACTTTCCACGGGACATGTTTAAGGCCACAAGATTAAAGGGCATTTTGGTACATTCTCTACATATCTTTAATTTAAGACCACAAGATTCAAAATTCATCTTTTTACTTTCTTAAGCTTCATGTCAAGTCAAACTAGAAAAATAAATTGAAATGGAGGGAGTAACATTTTCACCTAGGTAAGGTCATCATTTACTCAATTTTATGCTAGCAATATCAACATATAGTCAATTCTATGTTAATAATCACGGTAGTTTCACCTAGACTAGGTGATCATTGACTCAGTTATATCTGAACAATTCCTGTCTGTTACCAGGGGAGTGCATCTTAATTTGCTTTGATTTGGTGACCCCATGTAGCTGATAAGTCTGCAGTGCGTATAAGCTGTTAAATATAACTTTAGAGATTGACATTTACATCCAAATTTGGATACATGCTTTGTAAACTTGAGATGAATTTAGCATTATTTGCCACCTGCCCCTAAAGAGAGGGAGAGACAGGGAGGGAGGGAGGGAAGAATGACAAACTCTCGTGCCCGGTCAATGTTAATTGGCAGAACTGTTTCTAGTCTGACCTGGAAGAATGCAACGAAACCTTGCTGGCCCAGTGATGTTGATGTTTCTTTCTTTCATTTTTCCTGTTTTGGTATTAGGGAGTGGATAGGGCATTCCCTGCCTCTATCACAAGGTTTTCCTCTTTTCTCATCCATAAACTGATTTCTCATCCCTCATTCTCCAGAAGTCCACATCATCAGCTGCACACAAATCTTTGTTTTGATGAAAGTATTTAATTCACAGAAAGGCATCAAGAAGATGCATAGCTACAGGAAATAAATACAAAATAAAGAGTTGTTAGCCCCTTTAATAGTGTCATAAGACAATGGAACTAACAAAGTCCAAAGACTGATCCGTTCTTATTACAGTAACTAACGTAGTGTCGTAGTCCATCAAAAAAGGTTGTATAAGTAATTAGCTTTGAGAGAGTGGTTTGGAGTTGAGGTTTCATCAAAGCATTCCCTATTTCTCTCATTACATATACTACTCCAAAATTGACTGTAGGGATCATCAGCTGCACACAAATCTTTATCCGTAGTAGTAGCAATTGCCCTACTAATTTTATCCTGGTCTTGGTTTTGATATGTTTGGAGAGACTATGGAGCATCTTTGGTGTTTTCTGAAGAAATTATGATGTGATACCCTCCAATCAGTTTGTTTCATCAGCAACAAAATAGGGCTGGCAGATATATGTACTATTACAAAAGACCTTATTAGTGTTACAAGGATTCCGAAAAATCAACAAAAGTTTCTTCCACGACTACATACTTTTCTTTAACCAAAAATGAAGGATACCCTCTATTCAGTTTGTTATCAACAATGTAATTTTCTATGCTTATTTATTGCTACAAGCTTCTGATTCATACCATATGATCTTTGTATGGATTTTTAGAGCAATGAGTCTGATAAATTTTCGGTTAACTTGCCCAATGTCCATTCATCTTCTTTTTATGCATCTGAGTTCCGGCTGTGTAATATGTAACTTTGATCTCATTTTTGATATCTTCATATATTCTTTGCTTATGGATGAATTGAATTCACTTTCAAACCAGTGCTCTTGTTAAGTGGGTGAATATATTAGTCTGTATTATTTATTCTCAGTATATCTACATGAATTCAGATTCCTGGACTGGTAAATGTGGATTTTGCTGATGTGCGTGCTATTATGGCAAATGCTGGTTCCTCATTGATGGGAATAGGAACTGCTACAGGTAAGTTTAGGAAGCTATTTTTCAATTGTGGGCTATCACTTTTTGTTGGTACTGTTTAATTCATAATTTTGTTAGATGTAAGGTGACTACGAATGTGATGAAGTTGCCTTATGTGATACATTCGGGGCCTATATATCTGATATATTCTAAGTACTCCTAAAGTCAAAAGGGATTAAACAAACAAAAGTGGATAAGAGCATTATCATAAGAGTTCTAAATCTAAACACCCATCTAAGAGTTCCCTGATAGCATCATTTTAACCAAGATAAAATATGTTTTTCTGGTACAAACCTAACTTACCCAGCAGTAGACTGCAGTGCAAGCTTATGCTTGCCTAACATGCTGTATACTTTTTGAATGGAATGACACAACCATCAGTTGGTCGACTGTGTGGTTTTCGAGCTATTGCATAGGAGCGGGATTTTTACCCTTTGCGCACTCAAAGGGTAGCAGCTGCGGGTTCCCCTTGTCATTAAAAAAAAGAACATTATCATAAGATCACTTATGCATCATTCTCTTTATTTCCTATCAATATTTGGACTAGCGAAGCCTCCCCAAATGAATAGCAATCCCAATTCTGAACCACCGAATCACATGTTTTGCTTACTTTTATCCTAATATTTTCTTATGGTTCCTTGAGTTAAGTTTCCTGAGATGTTAGCGAGATATTAAATTCCCTTAATAGCTTTAGCCGATGACGGAACCTATAATCAGGTCATATTAAAGAAAAATGACATACTTGACAACTTAGAGGGCTGCAATGTTGGAAATATGAAATGAAAGTTCCGTTGATCTAATTATTTTTTTTTGTCATCCCCTTTCAATATTAACAATGTCTTTTCCGGCTGCGATGACAAACATTAGACTACAATATTTTTGTAGTCAAATCTTTTGTGAATATAAATATAGTATCTTTTCCACAGATGTTAAATGAATCTTTTCTGGGATTTCTTTGTTATCAATAATAACGGACTAACCTAAGCTTACATGCACTCTCATAACTTTCACACCCTGTCATGCCACAATGTACATTTGACATGTTTATATTAATTTCACAATGTTGTAGCCTTTACTTCTTTCTGGAAGTGCAGATTTTTTTTGCATGTTCCATCCTTGTTTTGACCAAGATCCGAAAGTATTTCATATCCATATTAAAAATCAGCTAAGTTTTGAGTTCTAGCAGACTACATGGAATGATATTTAGATTGGGATACAGATATATGTATGGCCACATACAGTTTTTCTCATCTCTCAAGTAGTTGCGTTTTTTCAGCGAATTATTTCTGTTGAGAATGTATTACAGGACATGTCATATTGTTGAGTTGATATTGCAGGGAAGACCAGAGCCAGAGATGCTGCATTGAATGCTGTTCAATCTCCTTTGCTGGACATTGGCATAGAGAGAGCTACTGGAATTGTGTGGAATATAACCGGTGGTAACGATTTAACATTATTTGAGGTACCTGCCCTGCTCCCCTCCTCCCCCACCCCTACCCCCAATGATTTTACTGCTTTTAGTAAATTAACTTTTCTATGTCGAACATAGCATGTATAGATAGTTATATGACCACCTTTCATTAATTTCCCTGAGTGATTGTTCTAGAAATGTAAAAGAACAAAGAGAATCTTTAACTAATGATGCATGAGTGCGGTTTCTCTAAAAAATTTAATGGTTTACACCTTTGGTCTACCTGTTTGTCCTATTTGCTATCTCTCTTCAGCTTTGATGACTGCTTTTCAATCGAAATTTCATATAGCCACATTTCCATCATTGCATCCTTTTCATGTTATACATAGTGATGGTCAGATGAGTCATTTACTCACAACTATTGAATCAAAGCATTCCTACTTCAGATGCACCATTAGTGTTTTTGAACCTCCAGATTCAAAGAAAGCTGCATTCACAATATCTTATGCTCGTAGACACATTGTGGATTATGTTAATTCATGATTATCCAATTTTTTATGTCTTCTCTTACATTTGCATGTTCATCTGGCACTTCTCTAGGTAAATGCTGCAGCAGAGGTTATATATGACCTTGTCGATCCAAGTGCCAACCTCATTTTTGGAGCTGTGATAGACCCATCATTAAGTGGACAGGTACATTAATATCTCCTATCACAAGGATAATATTGCTTTTGTTAAGATGATACTATGTTGAAATAACTAGCAAAGATCTATATGTTTAATAATTACAATGGGCCTGGTATAGACTCTCAGAAACTTCTAATTGAAACAGCATAAAAGTATGTCTGACCATAAAACCCGAACTTGTGAGGGATAGTAATGGTTGGTTTCCTTTACTTCGAGAAAGCATTAGCAGTCGCTTTCTCTTGCATGACAAATCTAATTCTGAAAGAATTTCTCAGCAAAGTATGTACTTCAAAGAAACAGCTTATCAGGTCAGAAGTCCAACATTGACCAAGTATAGGGAAGGCTTTCTCTGTAATTGGTAAATCAAGTGTTTAAAATTGGACAGATACAAGATTGCCTTGTTCTTACAACAACAACATACCTAGTGTAATCCCATAGGTGGGGTTTGGTGAAGATAGTGTATGTAGACCTCACTCCTACCTCGTGGAGGTAGAAAGGCTGTTTCCGAAAGATCCTCACTTCAAATAACGCATATCACAGCAGTTTAAAAAAGAAAAATATACAAGTAAAGAGGAGATAACTAATAATAAGGAAAACAGTCCAGAAAACAAGGAACATTAATAGCCAAATAATGCAATAACCGAAGAACAGGAAACTACGGGTAGTAACAGAAATCATAGGACAAGAAACTACGAGAATAATACTACTACTTCTTAGTTCTTATATGAATGGAGAAATAGGTTTGAAGCAAAATTAGTGCTCCAATGAATAGATGCATCTGTTGTGACATTGCCTTTATTTTTCCACGTCAAATACTTGTTTATGTTAGTTCTCTGGTGAACACAAAAAGGTTCTGGTAATGTTACAGCATTGGGAGGATTGTATCACTTGTTAGTTTGCATTACTCATAGTCTTTCTATTTAGTACTAGTTTCAAGCTCTCTTTCCACGAACCCTTGACCAATATTCATCTTGGATCATGTTTACTCGCGTCATTATTATCATGATGCAGGTCAGTATAACCCTGATTGCCACCGGTTTTAAGCGCCAAGAAGAAAGTGATGGGAGGCCCCTCCAGGTATTCCTCTCTTCCACTTCTCTTTGCATGTTCACTCTTCATGCAAAACCTGTGTATTGGTTGGCATCTTGTATAATTTGTTTCATGATGTTACAGGGAAACCAACTAGCGCAAGGAGATGCCAACCTTGGAATTAACCGACGGCCTTCATCCTTCCTGGAAGGTGGTTCAGTAGAGATCCCCGAGTTCCTCCGGAAGAAAGGAGGCTCTCGCTATCCTAGAGCTTAAGTCAGTCCTTGCTTTTCTTTTATGTATAGTAGTCTTTCACCCTTCATACAATTGTCATTTGTTTCCTCATCTTCTAATATGATAATGTCTTCTATGTACAGGATCTTGGTTTATGCTTCAAATAGTGACTCAGTCTCTGAGGAAGTGTTACCCGACGCCCTTTCTTAATGCATAGATACTTGTTCTGTTTTTCACTAGTCATGCCCGGTATATATTACTTCTTTGGCAGTCAATTGATTATAAGCTAGAGCTTTTTACAGCAAGATATGGAAACGTGATGAGTCGGTAGCCTTGACATACATGAAGTATACCGTTAACATGTCTGTTGTGTCCGGGGTGTGTGTGTGTGTGTGTGCATGCATGTTTTAGGATCAGTTTTCCATCCAGGTAGGGTATGTCAAAACGCGTCCTATCTATGTTCTTGCCAGTAGGCAGAACTGCAAAAAGTTGAGATATTAGAAACCAGTATTTGTGAAAAGATGAGTGATATGATACACTCTTTCTAGTGCAAGATATTGTCCCCAGTTTTGACATTTGTGCTGAAACAATCTTTTCCAGTTTAATGAGAAAAAATCAGAACTAAAATATCCTTAAGTTGATGATGCTTCGGGTTCGAATTTCAATAGAGACAGAATTATTAGGTGATTTTTCTTTATTTGTTTAAGCTTTGGTAGATAGAATTATTCGATATTTATATTGGTCGAAGCTAGTAAATACAGGAAATCGAAAATGTCGAAGTAGGTTGTGGCTTATAAATAGAAAAATAAGGTGTTAGTGAACCAACTTGTCAAGCTCTATCTAACTCGATGTGTGATACTTATAGCTCTGTGAAAACATATTCGGACATGCACACTGCTCATATGAAACCCCCATAGCAAGCTTGAAAGACTATGTGACCCATCTTTTGCGCGCAAACCTAATGACATAGTTGCATGTCACTACCATCTTCTTTTTATAAGTCCGACATATCGATGATTGTAGCTTCATCGAAAAGAAAAAAAAGAATCATAAATATGCCAGTCATTAAAATTAAGAACTGCTATGAAAGATTTTTAATGTATCATCTGTAACAAAATTATAAACCTAAGCTAGTAATTTCCTATGGGTATAATCGTTATACATGTAAGTTAATCTTGTCTCGATGAAAGATAGATATCCTAAAAAATTAATCGAGATGCTAGGTTGGACAACATGAATATCAAAAAGAAAAAGATGTAGAGAAAGGTGATGACAACTTTATGTTGAGTAGGTAGGTATTTGTGGACACATTCTTCTGTATTTTATTTTCCAGTCAGTCCCTATCAGTATTATATATCACTTTTCACTACCTACATTTACTTTAAATGTTCTCATAAGTCACAACACAAGACAAAAACATTAAATTCTCTAGCAAAAATGGACCACTGGCTAAACTTTATTTTTTTCTTTGAGCCTTTTTTGACAGATTGCCTAGCAAAGTGAAAACAGAAATTACCTAACTTAAAAAGTACCAAATTCTAAACATTAAATTGTCTTAATTCAATATTGTAGAGGCTTTTAATTTTAACCCACTATTTATAAATGTGCTTTATTGTCCCTAGAAAATAGTTGAAACATATTAATATACTATATTAAACTTGATCTTTTTCCCCTTTATCCAATTCTATACTCTAGTCTCAAAATATTTTTCGTTTTTATTCTCAAATATTTTCTTCGTCCATCTTTATTTGTTTATTTTACTATAAATAGATGTTCACTTTTACTTGAACAAATTAGAAAATCAAGGAATAATTTATCACTTGTTATGAGTCGTTTGGTGTGAGGTATAAGGTATAATTATCTTAAAAATAAAATGCAAAATTATTTTATTATGTATTTGGTTGGAGGTATCAGTTGGCTCTTGAATTATTCATCCCACCACTTTTACCGTGGTGGATAAGTTATCTCATATGTATGTGGGATAACTTATCTTGAGATAATTAATCTCGAAATAACTTGTTTTCAACCAAACAACCCCTAAGTTACTGATTTAATTTATAATAAACTATAGTCATTTCTCAAAAGTATTGAATTTATTATTATTCAAGGGTGATATAGTAAAATTATCATTTTATTTATTATTCTTGAAGGGGTATGCCAAGTCAATGTTGAACAAATAAAGATGGACGTATGGATTACTTGTCATTTTAGAATTACAAAGTAGCATTACTTTTTTTTCTCCTTTTTATCCTTAGTAGTAATTGTTTTTTAAGACTACAAATACTTTAATTATGACACATAAATAGAGCAAATATTCAATAAATACAAATTATATTTTAAGACATAAATAACATAAAATGATTAAACATTACATTTACTTTATTATTTTCTTATAAAAAAATATGTAAATGAAAAACACCATAATTATTTTGAGACTCATGAAATATTAAGTGTTTTCAAAAGTTAAAATAAAAGTGGGGCATTAGTAACTGTTCCTGAAATAGTTATATTCTTTTAGAATGAGAAGGGACAAAATAGATTTCAGAATTTTCAAACATTTTGAATGAGAAAGTAGATATTATGCTAGAATAAAGTGAAAAAAAGCAAATTATTTAGAAATAACAATTTAATAATTTTAAGTGTGAATGGCACTAATGTTGGTCAATCAATTATTGAAAATTCATATTTTAGTCCATGAGAAATTTACTCAAGTACATTTGAGTTTCGATTAATTGTAATATACACTTTTGATCCACTTTTGAATATTCATAAATTTACCTTTGATATCAATAATTTTACCTGCATTATCCATGTGTTATGTTAAGCTTCTAATTATTACTTCATATTTAATAATAATATAATATTAAAAATATATTAAATATAAAGGGACCCAAAAATACATTTAATTAACTGAAGATTAAATATATTTAATCAAATATCATACTGACTAAAAAATAATAATTACTATTTGAGGGACTAGAAATGCTATTATCCAATAATTTTAATGATTGATCAAAGAAAAGAATCACAAACAAGAATTGTAATACACGTAATCATCTGATTTAAACTTTAAACAGCATATTGTTAAAATTATAATAATCCATTTTCATAGAATATATATTTATGGGAATCAAACTTACCAAATAAGCATATCAAAACCAATTTCTAACTACTTTCCATGGCCCACAAATATTTTTTATGTGATAAGTACTAATCAAGTTTATCCCTAATCTTGTTTGTTTTCTTAATTCTAGACCAAATATATTACAAAGATTCTTTAATGTATAGACGCAAATCTCGTGAGATCTTAATAATTCATTGATTAACTATCTGAACTTCATCTTATCGGCAAGAGTTCGAATTCCCTTTCCCTATCCTAATTTTTTAAAATTTCATATTAATCTGCTAATCATTACACATTATTACACAATCCAAGTTTATAATAAACTATCCAAAAATCAAATACTACAAACGTTATTTTAAAAATATTTTTAGTCTTTAATTAGTTAGATCTTTCATTTGATTATATTGAGATTTTTTAACTCAAAGTATCTAACCTACAGAATCAAAATATTATTATTATTTACAAATCATTTCCTTCTCCTCTAATTAGCTGTCGATTATTTATTTTAATGGTAAAATAAATCATTTTGGGTATGTTACTAAACTTATAAGTATTTTTTTGAATTTTATATTTCTTAAGGGGGGACCAACAACAATATTATTAAATATAGGGGAACAAACAAACTATCCCTTTCTTAGCGAAATTAACACGAAAGTGATAGTTGTTATACTTTTTCTTTTTGACAATTGATACATTTAGGACCACAAACCATGACTTTTTCCATTTTTCACCCCAAATATTTGGTCAACTTGCAACAACCTTTGTAATAAATTAAAATGCTTCAATTGTTTCGATTTGTTTGTCCTATTTTGATTTGATACGGAGTTTAAGAAAATAAACTTCATCTCTTTCTGGACCTCAGGGAGTTTTTCCAAAGCTGAATAGCGCGTGCACTTCTGCTAGAGCAGAATTACATGTGTACTTGGTGTATAACATAAGACTTTTGAATCTTGTGCTCTTAAATTAAAAATATGCTCAATGTATCAAAATGTCCGTTAATCTTATGTTTTTATACATATCATGTGGGAAGTTGAAATTAAAAAGAGAAAAAAATATTTTTTTAAAATAGACTAAAAAAAGGTAGTTCAAACAAATTGAAACGAAGGAATATTTATGTTCTTTTTTGTAAAAAAATGTTTTTTTCCAACTTCGTTATATCATGTTCAAGATAATTACTTTTTTTTCTTTGGTTTTTATAAAATTAGTTTTTAGTAAAAATGACTAAAAAAATATAGTTCAAAAAAATTGAAACGGGGAACACTTGTGTTTTTTTTCTTCTTAAAAAATGTGTTTTTCCATCTTTGTTATATCATGTTCAAGATAATTACTTTTTTTTCATTGCCTTTTATAAAATTACTTTTTTTATATAAAAAAAATAACTTAGTGTTTTTTTATTCTAAATCAATACATTACTCGCTTTGAAGTCTCACTATTGAATTCATGACGACAAGTCTTATTTTGTAAGGTAAAGCAATCCCTACAAAAAATTTTGATTAAGAATGAAAGTCGAGTATGCATCATTCTACTACAACTTTTAATGATAAAAATAATTTAAAGTTACTCCACCTAGATAATATGAAATCGAAAACAGCCAAGCTAGTGGGTAATTCTTATATTTTTATGGATCATATCCCCATAAATTCAATATAAATATATATTTGTAGAGCTTTTGTAATTTTGAATTTTGAAACTATGTACATTTGACCTTGATTTTTAATCCATTAAAATTTGAGCCACCGCGCCGCGACTTCCCTTGGGATCACAAATTATGAGGAAAATATTACTCCTAAAAGTAAAAGTAAAAGAAACACCATCTTATTAATTTTCTAATCCACAATTAAGTATTATTTTTGGCAAATAGTTTTTGGAAGTGCTAAATGGCCAGAAATTTTGGCCAGAATTTGGTCAAAAAATTAAAAAACTATAAAAAAATTTAATTTTAAAATAAACTCACCTTTTTTCCATTTTTTAGTTAAAAGGGTAAAAATATTTTAAAAGATAAAATAACATAGATAAAATATCATTTTGGCCAAATTTTCTGGCCAAAAAGATTTTTCTAATAATTTTATTGCTGTTCGTTTTTCTTTCTTTTTGGTCATCAAGGGTTTATCAGAAATAATTTCTTTATTTTTTTCAAGATAGAAACACGATCTGCTACTCTGCTACACACTTCCCTTTTAGACTCCACGAATGAATATATTTGTTTTATCGAAAAAGACTCAAAAATACCTCTAAACTATTGGAAATAGCTCAGATTTATCCTTAAACTATATTTTGGTTTAAAACTACCCTTCCCGTCAAAGTATTGGGTCACACTTACCCTTCTAGTTAACAGAAGTATGTTAAGTGCTACATGGATGCCACATAAGCGCCAAACATTCCCCACTTTTACGTAGACTAATAAGATCCCTAATATCTAATTTTCCCCTCATTTCTCTTAAGATACGATTTCACCAATTTCCCCTAATTTTCCCATAATTTCTCCATTTCCCTTAGAAACGATTTCACCCCA